TCTATGTGTCTGTTTGTGTGTCTGTCTGTCGTTCTTCTCTTTCTCTCTCTCTCTCTCTCTCTCTCTCTCTCTCTCTCTCTCTCTCTCTCTCTCTCTCGCTCTCTCTCTCTCTCCACAGGTAATTCCTACGCTGAAAAGACCTGGAATGCAGTAACCTCATTCTGGTCATTAACGTTCACAGACAAATCTGTTATATAATATGTACTCGAGACTTCCTCCTCAGGCATTCTAGCTTTCAGCTCCTCCGACCTTACGTCACTACCCTTCGAAAGAGTCGAAGATAACAAGGTTGTTTTTTTTTTTTTTGTTCCTCATTACAACTTTTACTCCAAAGCTGATCCCCTACCTTCTCTCCTTATTCCGCACAGGTGAAAGTTGACCAGGAGTGGAACCCGCTCCAACAAACGGAACCTGGCGTCTTCGAGGGTCTTGTGGACTTCAGCCAAGGTTACGCTTCCGGTTCAAAGGCCAAGGTCAATGTGAAATTCGCCGGAAACAATTACCAGACTCTGCTGGAGTACTCATTATGATTTGTTTAAACTGGCCTTGCGACTATCAAGGGCGTGGTTTTTTTGTGAGCGTATTTCTTACAGCTATGATTACTGTCTCCATTTTTAAAATAGTTAATTACTAAAGCGTGAAATCAACATACTACTTCGTAAAAAAAGAGTGACTATATTATGTATCGTGCAAACTATGTATGTTGACATTTGCTCAAAAAATCTTAAAACAAAGTTGAGGTCACCAGGTACATACATTTTCGAAATTAGGTTAACTGTTTTTACTGGTTTCTTATTTCTTTTGCTACGTTTGCAGTGTGAAAGAGAATATTCTATAACTTCAAAACACTGAATCTTCATTATTTTATTTAATCTTATTTCCATATTGTTTTCCCCACTGACTGATTTATTTTACAGTGAATTGACAGCTTCCAAATGCCTAGTTCTATATACCTGTGTAAGACTGGATGTGTATGTGTTATGAAGTTGTTGGTTTTGTAAAATGCAATTGAAAGCAAGCGGCGTTGTGGGAAACTGCAGAGATTATTGAAAACCTGAGTCATAATTGAACGTCCGGACAAAAATCATGATGATGCTTTGTTCGTACTTCCAACTATCCTCTTCAGCGATACGCACACACGCAAGCAAGCGTACACACACACACACACACACACACACACACACACACACACACACACACACACACACACAAATGCGCGCACACATAGACACATCAAATATGTGCAAATGAGTAAAAGTACTTGCACTATTTACATCCTGGCAATTATTATCTCTACTTTGGGGAGAAAATGGTGGAATGCTGCATCTTCCCCATATTACTATATGGCGCTGAGACCTGGACTCAAACAAAGGAGGAAGAAAACGGAATAGCTGCGCTTGAGAGGTGGTGCTACCGCAGAATGGCCTGAATAAGTTGGAAAACGAAAAAGACGAACAATGAGGTGTGTCAAACATTCCACACAAGACAAGCCCTGCTTAACAAAAATAAAACGTAGAAAAACACAATACTTTGGTCACTTAAAACGACACCAAACCATAGTGAAAGGGTACTTGAAGGAACGATGTGGGACAGGAGAGCCAGGGGGTAGACAAAGAGTAACGGGGATGGATAACATTAAGACATTGGAAGGTATTATTCGTCAACCTCTAAATCAAATCAGAGATGACACTTTCAGGTGATACACACACACACACACAAACACACACACACACACACACACACACACACACACA